GGGATCCTGCTGGGATCTGGGGGATCCGTGGGATCCTGCCGGGATCCGCGGGAATCAGTGGTATCCTGCTGGGATCGTCAGGAATCCGTGGGATCTTGCCAGGATCCGTGGGATCCTGCTGGGATCCGCGGGAATCCAGTGGGATCCTGCCGGGATCCGTGGGGATCCATGAGTTCCTGCCGGGATCCTCGGGGATCCGTGGGATCTTGCTGGGATCTGTGGGATCCTGCCGGGATCCGTGGGAATCAGTGGGATCCTGCTGGGATCAGCGGGAATCCATGGGATCTTGCTGGGGTCCATGGGATCCTGCTGGATCCACGGGAATCCACTGGGATCCTGCCGGGATCGGCAGGAATCAGTGGGATCCTGCCGGGATCTGCTGGGATCCGTGGGAATCCATGGGATCTTGCTGGGATCTGTGGGATCCTGCTGGGATCCACGGGAATCCAGTGGGATCCTGCCGGGATCCGTGGGATCCTGCCGGGATCTGTGGGATCCTGCCGGGCTCTCAGCGCTGATCCTGCCCCCCAGACCTCGGTGTTCACTCCCGCCTACGGCTCCGTCACCAACGTGCGCATCAACAGCACCATGACCACGCCGCAGGTGCTCAAACTGCTCCTCAACAAGTTCAAGGTGAGGGCAGCGACCCCGCAGAGCTCCCGGGACGCTCTGAGTGCCGGCTCCATGATGTGTTCAAAAATAATCTGCTTTATGGATCATTTATATAAAACCTGAATTCGGATTTTATATATATATATATATATATTTATTTATTTATTTATTTAGATATTTATTTTTATTTACATAATTTATATTTATATTTATATTTATTTATATATTTATATATTTATTTTATATTTATTTATATTTATATTTATATTTATATTTATATTTATATTTATATTTATATTTCTTTATATTTTTTGTGTCTCCCCCAGATCGAGAACTCTGCAGAGGAGTTTGCTCTGTACATGGTGCACACGAGTGGAGGTGAGAGCCCAAATCACCCTGGGCTTGAGAGCCCCAAATTATCCCAGACATTAGAGCCCCAGATTCCTGGGTGTGAGTGCCCCAAACCCCAAATTCTGAGTGCCCCAGACCCCAAATTCTGAGTGTCCCAGACCCCAAATTCTGAATGTCCCAGACCCCAAATTCTGAGTGTCCCAGACCCCAAATTCTGAGTGCCCCAGACCCCAAATTCTGAGTGCCCCAGACCCCAAATTTTGAGTGCCCCAAACCCCAAACTCTGAGTGTCCCAGACCCCAAATTTTGAGTGCCCCATCCCCAAATTCTGAGTTTCCCAGCCCCCCCTTTCCCGCGGCACTGACCCCGCGGCTCTGGCGTTGCAGAGAAGCAGAAGCTGCGCGGCAGCGATTTCCCCCTGCTCGCCCGCATCCTGCAGGGCCCCTGCGAGCAGGTGTCCAAGGTGTTCCTCATGGAGAAGGACCAGGTGGAAGAGGTCACCTACGACGTGAGTGTCACCCTCAGGCTGGGAAAAACCCCGGGGATCGCAGGATCACGGAGCGGTTTGGGTTGGAAAGGTCCTTAAACCTCACCCAGAGCCGAGGCAGGGACAGCTCCCGCTGTCCTGGGTGGCTCCAAGCCCCATCCAACCTGGCCTGGATCCAGGAGAGTTTTTTGGGAATTCCATCCCAGCCCCTCCCCGCCCTCACAGCGAAGGATTTATCCCAAATGAACTCGTTGGAGCTGCTCTGCTCCATGAAAATCCCGATCCTGCAGGAAATTCCTTGCTCCCAGCACTGTTGGGCCATCCCAAATCTGAGCACGGAGCAGCGATTTCAGCTTTCGGTGGAATTGTTTTGCCAGGCTCTCTTGTGCCATCTGCAGCTCCCCAGGCCCTGAAATCCCGACAATTTTGGGGTGAATTTGGGCTTAAGCAGCTCTGGGGACGCTCAGACAGAGCTGAATTAAAATAAATAAACCTTGGGAGGATCTTTTTTCCGATGATTATCCAGCTCTCGCTTGTTCGCAGCGGCTGATGGCCACAAACATCATTTTTTTAGGGTTTGCCGCAGGATTTTGGGATTTTTGGTTAAATTTAAGGAGAGGATGAGGGGGTGGGTCAAATCATCACCCTCTTCACCATTTCCTGCTGCTCCTCTCCCACCCAGGTCGCCCAGTACATCAAATTTGAGATGCCCATCCTCAGGAGCTTCATCCAGAAGCTGGAGGAGGAGGAGGATCGGGAGGTGATGAAGCTGAAGCACAAGTGCGTGGGGCTGGGGGGACGCCGGGAGGGAAGGACGTTCCTGCGGGGGCTGCTTGGGTCCCCCCCAAAAAAAATCCTCATTTGTGGGGTTTGGGTTATTTCTTGGAGTCTGAGGAGTTCCCTCTGTCGTGCTGTGCCTCCTGCAGGTATTCCATCCTGCGGCTGATGATCGAGCAGAGGCTGGAGGAGATTTCCGAGGGCCCCACGGCGATGTGAGCGTCCGTGGGATGCTCGGCACCGAATCCCAACCCCAAAATCTGCCGGGGAATCACCGAATTCCAACCCCAAAATCTCCTGAATCCCAACCCCAAAATCTTCCAAATCCCAACCCCAAAATCTCCTGAATTCCAACCCCAAAATCTTCCAAATTCCCAACCCCAAAATCTCCTGAATTCCAACCCCAAAATCTGCCAGGGAATCATTGAATTCCAACCCCAAAATCTCCTGAATTCCCAACCCCAAAATCTGCCGGGGAATCATTGAATTCCAACCCCAAAATCTGAATTCCCAACCCCAAAATCTCCTGAATTCCAACCCCAAAATCTCCTGAATCCCAACCCCAAAATCTCCCGAATTCCAACCCCAAAGGCTCCTGGTGAATCCTCAAATTCCCAACCCCAAAATCTGCCGGGGAATCATTGAATTCCAGCCCCAAAATCTCCTGAATTCCCAACCCCAAAATCTGCCGGGGAATCATTGAATTCCAACCCCAAAATCTGAATTCCCAGCCCCAAAATCTCCTGAATTCCAACCCCAAAATCTCCTGGTGAATCCTCAAATTCCCAACCCCAAAATCTCCTGAATTCCAACCCCAAAATCTTCCAAATTCCCAGCCCCAAAATCTCCTGGTGAATCACCAAATCCCAATCCCAAAATCTCCCAGTGAATCACCGAATTCCAACCCCAAAATCTCCTGAATTCCCAACCCCAAAATCTCCCGGTGAATCACCGAATCCCCAACCCCAAAATCCGCCGGTGAATCACCGAATCCCTCAGAATCCTTGGGAATTTTCCAGGAAAACCATGGCTGGCAGCAGCTCCAGCCCAAACCTCAAATCCCTGGAAAACACAGGGGGGGGAAAAAAAACCCCAAAACAAACAAAAAAGAGGAA